ACTAGATTATGCAATTCAATATAACACAGACTGTTCCCAGTTCTATGCACTTCTAGTATGTACAGAATTATTAATGCCAAATATTGTACTGTGTCACAAGGTATGAAGTATGAAATTGCAAACAAAATTATGGAAATAAAGACATAATTTTCAATTCATGATAAACCATGCATTACAAAAATGATTTTAGCACCTGGTTCTTGATTTGGCTTCATCATGATATACAATTGCCTACTTTTGGTGGTAGATTTGCACACAATACACTAAAATCTTTGACTGCAGCCTGGTTGTGGTGTTATGCAATATGGCGGATTGCCAGTTATGCAATACAGACCAGCCAGGGACAAAACACATCAACGTACTGTAAGGGACAAGTGCATCTGATCAATATCTCACAAGGAGCACAGAATAGCCTTCATCTACATGTATATCAGTGTACATTGTATGCAAAACAGAGGTGTTGAGTATAAAATCATCATCATGATTCTCATCTTAAAAAATTCATTTTCCTTTTGTGCATTGATAATTTATGACATCTCGTCTACTTGTATCATTAAATGCTTCGGTTCTGATTTTCCGTATCAGTAGTGAATTTAAAGGTGCTAAATCAGAACCTGATTAATTATTCATGAGGTGTGACTGGTGTTTAATGAAGCCAGCTGATGACCCACACTGGGGAGAAACCCTAACCTGGTATGATGTACTCAGGAGGTATATATATATATATATATTCATGATAACCATCTTTGTTTATTTGCATGTTCTTGACCACAGAGTGCCTACTACTAGTACTAGTAAATGCAAGTTACATACTACATGAAAACTGAAGGTAAAATATTATCAGCTATTATTATAATTGTTGTTAGTGAACAAAGGCTGAGTCAAAGAGTTAAGTACATGTATGTATATTAAATCTATGCTGTCAGTAAATCTATATATAGTATATTATGTTCTCAGTGGATCTATGGTTTACAAGACAGTTAAATATATTAAATTACACATGTATTATCTATTGGCTACAAAATGGTCAATGACCAAGTTATGTAGAACCACTACATCTATATATTACATGTACATGTACATACATGTAGTAGTGCATCAGAAATACCTGCACAGCTCCAATTTTACCTGCACTAACCTGCATATGCAAGTTGTATTTCCAGCCCTACAACATCACATCTGACAGCAGGACTATACTATAGGGACCTGGACATCCCCAAACCCCACTGAAAACAGGACAGACACCATCAAATCATGGATGTATTGATCTGTAGTTCGGCGGGATTATCGCCAAAACTGTCCGGCAATCAGCCACAATTGGACAGGTCCATACACTTAGTTTATGGGTGTTAGTATTAATCATTGAGATAACTATCAGCTATATAAAATATGGAGAGATAGATAGGAGGATAGATTGATAGATTGATAAATCTATTTATAATACATGTGTACTACTTGTACTTTTGTAGAAACATTGAGAAAGAACAGATAGATAAAACATATAGATGTAGATATAATGTAGATATAAATTGATATTAGATAAAAACATACATGTAAGACATAGATACTACTACCTGGTATATTTAATAATAATATCAGTATATGATGTTTAGATATAAAATGAATGTGGAGGCATAGATACGGTACATACAGAAATATAGAAAGAAATACACAAGAAGATAATATAGGCATAGATAATATATACTATTATATGGATACATGTAAATAAGTTAATATTTAACTTCAAATGCAACATAAAAGGACAATCCTTTTAAAATTAAGCTTATTTTCTCTTGAGCAACCTGCATAGCTGAGTTGTTTCTACACATGCAATGACAAAAAGTCTTTCAATTATCAACAATGAGTTATTATTTCATATAATATCTCTGACAGAGCCTGGCAGGCTCCTACATGTAGACTCAGGGGACTACAGAAATCTGGTTAGTGAGGATTTACATACTAACACTGTCCACCTGCTGAACTGTGTGGTTTGAGTTTCCTCAGGGGAGATGTCATTTCTTTATCTTCATTTTTTTTCTATTTTAGATTTTTCCTTCCCTTTCAATAATGATGTTGTTTGTTAAGTACATGTATAGATAGTTAATGTTATATTGGTTATGTTATATGTTATAGGTTTTATACATGACTCCAGGACTTGAGTGTAGTATACATTATAAATTGTACATTTTTTAAACTCACTAATATAATATACTATCACTAAATTACAATAGATTATATCAAATTATATCATAATGATATAAATATAATATTATTATATTTATATTATTATAACTCACTAATGGAGATCTTTCAAATACAGAGTAAACAAAACATTGGGACCAAGCAGTTCTCATCAAATAAACATATTTGTCTAGTCAAACCTGTCTATAGGGGACTGAAGAAACTTGTCACAATAGCCTGGTGGTCACTATAGACAGGGTTAATTAGAAACATTTGTCTGGAACCACCGAAAATTGGCCACTATAGGCAGGTGGACCTTATGCAGAGGTTATGTCTTGAACAGGTTGTTTTATCAGTAGAACATCTATCTAGTAAGATTGATCATAAGAAAATAACCTGGATTTGGAAAATCAAAAGAAAGCTTTGAAGGAAATTTTTCTACAAAGTTGAACAAAACATATAACATACGTTTTGCTCATCTTTTCTTCTTAGATTTCTTCTTAGCTTTGTATAATGATGAAAACAGTATGAGTAGCAATCTTAAGTCAACTAGATTCGATTGATAATAAAAGTAACAAGTTGCAATATAAAATATCATTAAATATTCATTATACAAAATTAAATCAAAAACAACACATAGTATGACACTCAATTCTTGATTCATGTATATCAACATGTAATAAATCTAAAATGTAATCATGATTATACATTGATAAAAATAAAGTCAAACCTCCTGCACAACAATGTCTATAGTAAATATATAATATATTATACAAGTGTAACCTCCTCCCTGTCCTCTGGTCCATCACAGAAGAGCCATTACAGAAGAGACAAATGGCAGGCAAGACGCAGCGTGCTTTCATCACTGCTGGAATATTATATAGGTCACAGGTTCACATCTACAGATAGATCTGTACTGAAAAACATGTCAAGGAAGGAAGACTTATTCAAACTCAAAGACATTTTTTCTGCATCAGTTAAGAAAAAAATAAGAACTACTGCTTTATTATTGCAGAAATGGCTGATACAGTATTTCATGTTCAAGAATATTCATGTACATTTCCTAGATGATTAGTAAAACAACTGTGACTAAATTTCCTATGAGTATGATACCAGCGCTCGAAACGTATAGCTATAATTTGCTACTCACTTATTTTGAGACTGCAGAAAAAACATCAACCTACAGTAATACTAATATACAGGTTCAGTATTATCATAATATGAACCATGTGTCTATTGCAGAAAACTAAAAATAAAGTAGTACATTTTTCGTGTCCCGGAAGCCCAGAATTCCGTGCAAAAACACACACACAAGGACGGAATGTTGGAATCTCCCGCCTTCGTCATTCCGATTCCGACAAAACTGATGCGGGAGTCACCCACTTCATTATCGGCAATGAATGGGGCGTTTACTAAGTAATAAAGCAGCTGGTACTAAATATGCCATGGTTAGCGGACCCTAACAAGTCGCAGGGAGGGGGGATACAATGTACCCGTACGGTTTAAAGCTCTGTATAACAATAGATTATAGATCTGCCCTTCAAGAGGCCACTGTCAGGATACAGGTTGAAAGAGAGTGATTAGATCGAGCTGTTCGCTGATTATCACGCGCGAGAAATGCCGGCCCCTCCCCACCGATACAGTCACGTGGACCGACCTCCCAGAAGGTGGGGAATAATCTGTGCGGAAATAATGTGCTTCCTCCGTTCTTATTGTCCACACGATCCTCTCATAGCGGATTAAAACCTTACAGACAGTCCTGAATTATAATATAAACCCCCCTCCCCCAGTTCTTACAAACAGAAGGTGCTCAGGGTCCCTACGGGGAAGCTTCAGTTGACGAACGCTGGGTTTTTCTGTCGGCACATCGCCAGCACATGTCATCCCCACGCTCATCACACCGCCAGGTGTGACAACTGGGCTACGCAACATCCTCTCACCTGTACGTGGTACAGAGAGACAACACACGGGAATCATATCCACATTTAAACTACAGAAGCACAGCGTTCGAACCCTTACGCCGTCTGTCCGTTTGGCTGATTAGATCTGGCCTTATTGAGGGAAGAAAGGGGCATTTTTCTGCTGCGTGGCTGCCTATACGCTCCTGCTGGGAGCCTGCATGACCCCACTCACACACCTACAGGCCCAAGAAAAGGGAAGGCAGGCACTCGGCAACCCTGCCCCATTCTCACCATTCAAACCAGAACATCAGAATTTGCCAGGGTTTCCCCTAGAGAGCAGACGTTACCTGTAGGAAGAGCTAGCGGTGCCGGGCGGGCGGGGATTCGCTCCGGGCCGGCCGGGGGCTGCCTGCAGACGGGCCGCGGGAGAGATCTGGGCTAGCGGTCTGCCTTCCCGGGCGGACAAGTCAGGTAAAGCGCTCCTGGCCCAGCGGCCACATCGATCGGCCATCGCGCACGCCGAGAAAGTCAATGAACAGCCATGGCCAAGCCGCCGGATGAGATATATCCTTCATTTGCAAGAACCCCCTATAACCGACTACCTGTCCGAGGAGAGGGAAACACTCGCGCGATCGCGCGCTCGGGTTTTTATTGAAACATTTTCGCGCTGCGGTGTGATTTAAAAACGCCGAAGACACGCCCCCGAGGCAGGTGTGTTCCCTGGTTAACACGGACGTGTAACCGCGCCGGATTTCACACCTGAAAACCGGGCAAATCAGGCGGGAGGTTCCGCCGACTACACGGCGGGTCAAACCTGCCTGAATGAATGACCGGCTCTGATGTGGATCGCTCTCGCTGGGACCGCCCCCCTCCCCACATCCCGTGTTTTGTTGGCCCGTGGGAGGCGGCGGAACGTACCTGGCGGCTGTAGTCGGCCGGCGATCCCTCTATCACGGCGCCGATGCACAGCGGCACCTCGGTTCCCGGCCCCCCGATCACCGAGAAGCCGTAAATCCCGGTCCCTCCCGGCCGCTCCAGCTTCACAACTTTCACCCAGCCCGCCATCTTGGTTGGGATGCACGTCACGGACTCCCCATGCACCGCGGCCAAACGCACCGTACCGCCCTGGGCCGGTGAACACCGCAACAGCAACACACTCTTCCAACGGCGAAATACGCGGGAAAGGCAGGAGATTATCGTCTCCATGGAAACACGTTGCCATAGAGATCTTTTAAGACGTCATGACAGATAGATATTGAAGCCACCGGACGAACTCATCATACAGAGAAGTCAAGTTGAAGTTCATGCGACAGGTGCATTAATTTATAAATCCGTACAAAATATACGTCAAATCAACATTGTGAAGCGCGTGGTTGTTTCTTGTCCGATTTTTAAATCCGATTTTGATTGATACAGCGCTGGTATCCTGTATCCCTTTGGGATCGAAAGAAGGAAGGATGGATGGATGGAGATATGAGATGAAAGACAGGAAGAGATGAAGACAGGAAGAGATACTGGATATGAAACGTTAACATTTAAAAGCAAGGAGCTTTTATCACATGATGAAAGCTCCAGTGATTAAAGTAAGAATCGAAAAAGAAGAAAGAAAGGTTACGAAGGAATGAAATAAAGAATGAAAGATTGAGAAAAGAAAGAAAGATGCAAGGAAGTCTGAGAAAAAGAGCGCATGAAACAAGATTAAAAAGAAAGAGAATCAGAAGCTTAAAGGGCTATGAGAAAGACGGAGGAGGGAAGTCCCATACGATGCTTTCGCGTAAACTAAGCATCTGATTGGATTCAATTCAATTCAATTCAATTCATGGCATTATGCACGTCACTTCGATCGTTTTGAGCTTCACTGAACACGGAAGATGGGAAAAAGCGCGCTTCAACTTGAACATCAAAAGACACATTGTTAACTAATGTATCAAAAGAAACCCGTACATGCGCTTGAAAACAAGCGTAGAAAGTACGTTCATTATAACATAAGTAATAGAACTTAAAGCGATCCCTGTAAAACCTGTATTGGGATAAAGCTGTCAGAGTTGATATGATAATGCGATTTAAATTCAACTTCTTACCAAGGAGAGTTCAAATTTCAAGTTTGTTTAAATTTTAAAAGACACGTTAGGATATTGTTTGCATAAGTTTGCATTAACTAGCATATAGCACCTAGAAGAGCGCTACAATTAAACTACTAAGTCATACCCCCAAGTCATAAATGTTTGGTGTGTGTGCATATTTAATACAATGTAGCAATATTTTCAGTTTTCATTTTTCTTCTTCTTTCAAATGTAATTTAGCCGGCAATATGCATGCTTATCTTGTGTAACGTTACTAAACGCAACTCGATATTTCCATTTCATTAACTTGCAATCCCATCTGTCATTTTATTCATTCGATAATTCAGTTTGGTCTGGCAGGTGCCGGTTACTCCCATGGCATAGTAACGGGCGCTGCGGGATTTGTAGTAATTTCCCGGGGGATTTGTTTACAAAACAACAACGGGAAAAACCTAGCGGTCATCGGGCTGTTCTAGTAGAATTGAACAAAGGGTACATGTATTATCTTTCAATCATCAATAAATCTACAAATCAATCTTTAAAAGATACAATAGCTCATTATATCATTTGGATTACTGTAGTATTTTATCATCTTGTTCAAAACATTGCAATATTACAACAATAAGTACAAAATATAAAATATCAGAAAGGAAGATTCCCCCTTTTTTGTTATGGACCGTTCCGAACGGCATCCATTGTGACCTGTCACCCTTGCCCCGGTAACCGGAAACATGGAGTTTTCCGTGGTGGAGGTGTTTTTGCACCACCTCGTAAGTTTCTGCGATTTCTACTATTTCTACCCGTAACCTAGGCCTCATATTTTGCCGAATGTAGGGTGAATGTACAGGGCACACGTGGGTCGGATTTGCTGTAGTTTGTTGGTATTTTTAGTAATATTGTGTCGAATTTGGTGTCCGTTGTGTGGTGGGCGGGTGTTACACAACAATTTTTTTCTGCCATGATTTTCATTGTCCTGACTTGCCGTACCGGTTTGCCAAGGTCGTCATGTTTTTCTGCGAGTGTGCCTAGACTTACAGGGTTTTGTGAACCAGTCTTACAGGTATATATATTGAAGAGGCAATATCTGGGAACCCGCGTGAACTTTGAAACCTGGAAACTGGCCTCTTGCCAAACAACCCACAAATTATTATTCATTGATCTTACGCAAGAAAAAAACCTTCCACCCTTCGGTATATTTTGGACGAAAGATAAAAAATATTAGAATATACTACTGTTCATAACTATTCGTCCTTCATTGATTGGAATATTTTCCCAGATCACTCCCACAGTCCCACTAAAATTTAGATCGTTGTGGTGTCCTTTTGTTGTTGTTTTTTTGTAGGCTTGGAGTAGCAAAAATTGTTCCGCTAAAATATTTGGAACTCCCACTTTTCCACATAATTTTTACCACTTAGAATTCGATACTGCTAGTCGATATGAATTTGAAAAAAAAGCAGAAAAATAAGGAATTTGTACATTAATGGATGAGAGAAGAATTGTTTTCTTGTCCTTTGGACTTGTTTTTTTCTGTGCCATATTTTTGTTTGCTCAAGCCAAGATCACCAAATACATTTTTATTTGTTTTTCCGGGTGCTAAGCCAAAGGTTATCGAATCCACAATACTAGTACTGTGCAAAATACTCGTAGATCCCTCCCACAATTATGCTTGACTGTTCCTCTAACCCAGGAGGTTAAAAATCATTGTATTCAACCTCCTTGCTCTAACCTAAGCAGAAAGAAGTGTTATATAATACCTATAGAGAGACAAATGACTCTGAACTGAACCAAGTGTAAAACTGAGCACCTAGAGACCACGTCTAGCGACATGTTAAACAAGGACAACAACAACAAATGTTAGCTCTTAGACAACTTCAGAAAATCCATTTTATAAACTAGAAAGGCCGACATTTGCTTGAGAGCAAATGCAGCAGATGGCTTCACCACATCCCCCATACCGAAAATGGATCTATCCTACGATGGCTGCCAATAGTCTACACCCCCATGCAGCAATGGAACCTTCCAATGCCGGAAATAGCCAAAAAGCCCTATTTTACATAACTTTAAAGTGGTGTATGTCAAAATCGTGAATGACATTCTTTGGACATGTGTCCAAGGTATCCCCATACCAAATTTCAGGTCATTCGGATTTAATATTAGGGCACAGGAGCCAAAAATGTACATTTTTGGTCCGAAAATAGCAAAAGAGCCCTATTTTACACAATGTTAAAGTGGTATATGTCAAAATCGTGAATGGCATTCTTTGGACATGTGTCCAAGGTATCCCCATACCGAATTTCAGGTCATTCAGATTTAATATTAGGGCACAGGAGCCAAAAATGTACATTTTTGGTCCGAAAATAGCCAAAAAGCCTTATTTTTCCCAATTATAAAGTGGTGTATGTCAAAAGCTTGAATGACATTTTGTAGACATATGTCCAAGGTATCCCCATACCAAATTTCAGGTCATTTGGTTTTAGTACCTGGGAACCAGATCTCAAAATGTATATTTTTTGCCAGAAAATGGCCAAAAAACCCAAATAAAACAATTTTTCAAAAAAATGAAAAAAACGCGTCAGGGTATTTGCCCACTCTACCTTCATGCCAAATTTCGTGTTATTTGGCCTGAAAATGGCAGAGATGAATCCATTTAAAGAAATGGCAGGAGGAGGAGGAGGAGAAGGAGAAGAAGAAACATGAGGGAACACAATATGTCTTCACCACTTTGTGGTGAAGCCATAACTACAGAATTGTATCCACACAAGACTAATATCTTTCCTTTATTTTACCAGTTCACTTGTGTGACCGAAGTGTCGGCATATGTGAAGCATATTGAACTGAGGTTCAACTCGTATATTGAGGTGAATGAGTATGAGCCTTACCAAGTGTTCCTGGCTGCCATCGCCTTTACACTGGCTATGGTATGGCTGTACAACTTCCTCTTCCTGCAAGAACTCAGTAAGTTTCTTACAGCTTTTTATTATCTGTTTACTTAAATGTTAGAGTGAACTGTTGATTGATATGACATTTTTTGCCATTGATGTTCTTTCTAAAAGCATTTCTGTATTGAACATAAGTCATTGGTCAGTTTTTAAGTAAAAAGGAAACATAATTTTTTTGTACAATTTTGTACTGTTTCAGAATTTCTGATTTCAGAAAAAAATTTCCTAGAAAAATCCCTGTTCTGGTGTCTTATACTCGATCTATTAAGGGATATAGCTATATACACAAATACTTAGGTTTCATTTGAAGTTAGTTTAGTCAAGGTTTTAAGTTAAAATCAAACTTCAAAGTTCCTGAGTGTTCAAATGTGTATAGCTGTAACTGTAAGATTTTGTGTATGTCTTACCTCTCCCTCTCCTATCTACTAACAGGCTTGTGGGAAAGGTTCAAGATGGCAACCTTCAAAACTCTAAGGAGTTTACCCTACGTGGGCCCCTCGGTAAGGTCATCTCTTATAATCTTACACTGTACATCTAAGTCAGGGGCAGCGAAACAGATTCAATGTGTTGTTCAGTCTCCTTTAGGAGGTTTATGGAAGAAAGTGACATTTTCATAGCCACAATTGAAAGTTCTTTTATAAGGAAAGGTTCTTGCTTGGTAAAGGTACGTACCGTTTGTAAAAGTTGTAAAGCCTCAAGATATCAGAAAACTGAGCAAAGGTGTTGTAAAAATCTTGCTTATATTTAGTTATAAGTCATAACAGTCTGACTGTTAATTTGCGCTGATTCAGAGGAAAGATGTACAAGGCCTTGGGAAACTTAACAAGCTTATGTCTTTTCAAGTTGATAGTGGACATACATTGTACATTGCACAACGTAGCTTCACCACAGCTCATGTTTTCAGTCAAACTTGCTTGACAGTCTTGCTGTTCTTTGTATGAAAGCTCATTTTTGTCTTGTTGTTGATTTTCTCAGATTCAGAGGGAAGTTGACAAGGCCCTGAAGAACTTAACAGACAAACATGTGTACATTTGTGTATGTCTTTTCAAGTTGACAGTGCATGTTCTTCACTACGACTGATGTTTTGAGCCAAACTTGCTTGACAGCCTGCTTTTTTTCGTATGAAAGCTCATCTTTGTCTTATTGTTGATTTGCCTAGATTCAGAGGGAAGTTGACAAGGCCCTGGCGGGCATGGCGGGGTCTCTGTTCAAGCTGCCCGCAGGGATGAAGTACGTCAACGGACTGCCCCAGACAGGACTGTCTGAGGACCAGGTCATGAGGGCCATCAAGGGGTACCATCAACTGGGTAAGGACAGAGGGAGGGAGAGAGAGAGAAGGAAAGAATGTGTGAAAGAGAAAAGAAAGAAAAACAAAGAAAAGGGAAGATAGAAAGCATTGGCAAACAAATAAAAATTTAACAAATGACCTTTATAGTCATTTTAACCTCATCCTGATTCAGTCTGATTTGAAAAGGAAGAACTTTTCTCAAATCCTTGTGTGAAGCAGAAAGCTTTAAGGTATAAGACATCTATCATTTTATAAGTTGTATTCCTAAGAATTTGTCTTCAATTAAGTTAGAATGTTCCCCTTTTTTTGCAGGCCACGTTGACTGGAAGAAAGGAAATGTTTCGGGCACTGTTTACAGTGGACAGCCCGAACTAACGCAACTCTGCACCAAGGTGGGGAAACAGTGATGTTTGTTTGTTTATTTGTTTGTTTGATTCTTTGTTTTCTACCTCTTCCAACAGGTATGTGGCTAGTGAGTATCATGATTAGCTAACCCCTAAAAAAATTGGTAGGATTGTCTGCTTGTTCTTACAGTACCTTGACAACAAAATTGGTGGATTCTTTTCCCTACAATTTCTAGATCTAGAAAGCTGTGAACAACTTCTGCAGCTGTATGTGCAAAGTTGGTGTAGTATAGCCAGCTGCTGCTGCGCCGCTTGCCTGCGAAACTGGTGTATTACACCAAGGGGCGGTTATTCCAGCTATACAGATACAGATCCAGATACAATGATGATAATGAAAGTACCCTTCTGTTTTGCTTGCCAGGTGTACGGAGAGTTTGCGTGGAGCAACCCGCTGCACCCGGACGTGTTCCCCGGGGTGCGCAAGATGGAGGCAGAGGTCGTGGCTATGACCTTGAAGATGTTCAACGCTGGAGTGAACGCCTGCGGAACGGTAAGTTACAGGAAAGGCTCACAGAACTTTACCTTGTTTACACTAATGAGTCCTCCACAGAGGTGACAACACCTAGCCTCCTTTGCAGACTTGTGGGGCAGTGGCGTTAATGTTTTCTGGTTAGTGACGGAGGGATGGTTTTGCCGTGGAGGGACTTTGCCAGGGAGAGAGTTTTACTGCTCTTCCTCGGCAGCAAAACCATCCTTTTGCAGCATAACTCATATTGCTTTCCAGAAAACATTAACGCCACCACCCCACAAGTCTGCAAAGGAGGCAAACAACACCTTTCAAAGAGCAGAGACTCAGTGAAACTTGCTTGCTTACACGTGAAAGAAGTTACTCAAGCAACTGGATAGATTTTGAAACAATCTATCTATCCTGTATCTATGGCTATGCTGTAGTAGCTGTTTTCTTGTGTATCTCATGACCTGCATGTCTAACCTTCATCGCCATAACTTGTTTGTTTGTTTCCAGATGACCTCAGGCGGCACAGAGAGCATCCTGATGGCCTGCCTGGCCTACAGGAACATGGCTAAGGAGCGTGGCATCACCCTGCCCGAGATGTGAGCACCTTCGTTTGTTTGTTTTTGAATGGGCAACTCTCACAATGTGGAAACCATGTTACCATTGTTTCAAAGTGTGCACAACAAATTTGCCAAAAACATCAACAAACCTTCAGCTGATTTCTTTTCTTGTAATTGACAAAGTTATGATGGTTAAAATTTATATTGAGTGTTTTTCTTTTGGTTGGATCAAAAGTTTTTTAAGTCTATAACAAGAAACTTTAGTGTTCAAAAATTTGTATGGAGAGTAACTTTTCTCTGTGTTGGATTAGGAGTGTACAACATTGAGACCGGTGGTTGACTAATGTGTATTCCCCCCTCCCCTCCCCCCAGTGTTGCTCCTTTCAGTGTGCACGCTGCCTTTGACAAAGCTGCTCACTACTTCGGTATGAAGATTATCCATGTGAACATGGACCCCAAGACTTGGATGGTCAGTCTGAAGGTGGGTGTTACAGCATTAGGTCCAGGTTGAGTACAGGTCAAGGTTTATTTGAAGTACTTTCAGTAGAACTTTAACCACAAAACATGGATGGTCAGGGTGAAGGTAGGTATTATATCATTAGGGTCAAGGCCAAGGTTGATTTAAGCCCATGTTCAAAACCAAGCCAGACTCCTGAAAATGGTCAAGACTTGTACAGGCAAACAAGTTTAAGTGGAGGCAATAATATATTGGATCAGATATTAGGATGTTGCCCGGTAGTAGACTGTCACTCATCATTTTTTTTTGCTGTCTTAAAATGTACTTCACGGTTACAATAATACATTGTAAAAGCTTCTACATGTGTGTAAGATCTGCTGTACATATGTCACTTACCACAGTCTATGACACTGACAAGTCATGACAAACATTTTTTCTCTCCCCCACAGAGCATGAGGAGGGCCATCAGCAGCAGAACCTGCATGGTGAGTCTGTATAACTGGTCTGATTCAAACTTGCTCGCTCTGTAACCTGCTACCTGTACCATAACCCTGTGGCCAAGGCTGGTTTGTGGCCTAAGGGTACCTTTGCATAGTAAGGTTTGAAAAAGAGAATTCCTCACTTGTATCCTGATTGTTATTTGTTAGGCTGTCTTAAATTTAACCTTCTTCCTGCTGTCTAGCCATGTAAGCAATGAAGGTTTGGTGCCTAAAGACTGTACCGAAGTATGGAGAGGGTTAAACAAAAGAGCATGTCTCACTATAACACTTACCACTGTACCACACACACTATTGTCACATATCAACACATAGCCTGGAGTCCAGCCATCTTACTGTTAGCTTACTGTTAGCTACCCTGCAACCAGATGTTGGGGAGTGGTCTTAAAGAGGTAACAGCAAGATGGCTGGACTCCAAGCTAATCCATCCATGTATTTTGTGCTATTTGCTCACACAGTTCTGTTGTTTATTTGTTTTTGTTTGTTTGTTTGTTTGTGTTCCAGCTGGTTGGATCTGCCCCCCAGTTCCCTCATGGAATCATTGATCCCATCGCTGACATTGCCGCGGTAAGAACAGATCTGATGTTTCTTCACTCTGAAAAACTGTTGGGTGTTTGAGAGTTATTTGTTTTGCACGTTTGTTCTTCACTGCTCAGCATTAGAGCGTTTATTTACCCTCGTCAGTAGCTGAAGAAAGATAGTGGATGCCGTCTGAAAGCTTCTACGCTTCACAGAACTCAAGTCCAGTGTACAAGTTTTATCCTTACTTGTACTGAAGCATTTATTTTGTTGTTGTTTGAAGCTTGACAAGCCTGAAGGATTGTTGCTGGAGTTTCTTTGTTTATTTATTTGTTGTTATTTACAGCTGGGCAAGCGTTACGGGATCCCGGTGCACGTTGATGCCTGCCTAGGAGGGTTTCTGTTGTAGATTCTATGTTTGTTTGTTTGTTTATTTATTTGTTGTTATTTACAGCTGGGCAAGCGGTACGGGATCCCGGTGCATGTGGACGCCTGCCTGGGAGGGTTCCTGCTACCCTTCATGAAACAGGCTGGGTTTGACCTGGCTCCGTTTGACTTCTCTGTGGACGGTGTGACCAGCATCTCTTGTGACACACACAAGGTGAGACACACACTCACTATCTGGTTTATTGCCTGTTGTTCCCTGTAACCGAGGGTTAGACGTGCTTGCACACTTATGCTGAGTCTTGATGGCAGCCTGCCATTTGCCTCTGTCTTGTGGGTTGATGTTATGAAGGTTTAGGTGGTGGAAGTCCTCTTGAGAAACATGTTATATTGTTTGTTTGTTGAGACATGTAAATATGTAGTTTGTCAACAAACCATTACTACCATAAACTACTTCTACAAACCAGTCCAACAGGAGCTCAGGATTCTTCTAGTATAGTCTTACATACAATGTATGATGACTAGTGTAGTTGTAGTCTTACACTGTTCTCTCTCCCCTCCCCAGTATGGCTTTGCCCCTAAGGGCTCCAGTGTTGTCCTGAGACTGTTCTAGTGTAACCTTACACTGTTCTCTCTCTCCCCTCCCCAGTATGGCTTTGCCCCGAAGGGCTCGAGTGTGATCCTGTACAGTGACAGGAAGTACCGGCACTCCCAGTACTTCGTGCAGCCCAACTGGCCAGGCGGCGTGTACGCCACCTCCACCATGGCTGGTAGCCGCGCCGGGGCCATTGTTGCCGCCTGCTGGGCAACCATGATGACCATCGGAGAGGACGGTAGGTGTTGTTGATGTCCAAGATCATACGGTGGCCAGGCAGTATCCAATGGCCAGAGGAGTGTCCATTGGCCATCGAAGGGTCACCAATGGATACTGTATGGCTAATGGATACTGCTGGCCTGTTGTATCCAGAGCTGTGCTCTATCTAGAGCTGTAGTCTATCCAGAACCGTGCTTTATCCAGAACCGTGCTTTATCCAGAACCTTGCTTAGGCACGGTTCTTCGTAGTCCACACATATCCAGAGCCGTGCTTTATCCAGAACCTTAGTCTGGCACGGTCCTGGGTAGTCCATGCCCAGAACCTCGCTCAAACATGGTTCTGGATAGTCCACACATGTCCAAAACTATGCCTGGGGCAAATCCGTGTTCTGGGATACGGGCCGGGAAGACTATCCAGAACCGTGCCTGATCCTACCTCTAACACAATCAGGCATAGAAATAGATAGGCATGGTCCTCAAATCGATACAATTATAAAGACTATTTAGAACAGTGCCTGATCCTAACCCTAACCCATTTAGGCATATAATATATGTTTTTTTGCTTCTGCCAACACTAGCCAAATTGCCCATGCTACAACAAAAGTACATGTACTAACTGTTGGTACATGTAAGTTCTCCAGATGAAGAGAATAACCGACATGCTAACCCGTTCCCCAGGCTACGTTGAGAGCACCAGGAAGATTGTGAAGGCTGCGCGCTACATCGCCAAGGAGCTGCGCAAGGTGGAGGGCATCTTCGTGTTCGGGGAGCCCGAGGTCAGCGTCGTTGCCTTCGGGTCAACGGAGTTCGACATCTACAGGGTCTCCAACACCCTGACTGCCAGGGGCTGGAACCTCAACTCACTGCAGTTCCCATCAAGGTAGCTAGGGGGTGTTCTTACACAGGGGGTCTCCAACACCCTGACGGCCAGGGGCTGGAACCTCAACTCTGCAGTTCCCTTCAAGGTAGCTAGGGGGATCTTCAAGAACAGGCGGTCTTAAATTAGTGAGTTACATGGCAGGGGGTGGTTCAAGGGCTGAAACTCATTGCAGTTCCTCTCAAGGCTAGGAGGAGGGGTTTTTCAAAAGCAGAGGATGTTCAGGGATAGAAAGTTGGTAAAAGAATCTGAAGTATATGTTGTTTGTACTTAGTAGAGAGTTTTGACTTTGAGTAATTAGAAAAAAAATGGGAGACTTGAAAATTATAAACAAAACGCTCGCTAAAGCCCGTCTGTTTGATTACCCAGCATCCACCTGTGCTGCACGCTGCGCCACACGATGCCCGGCGTCACCGACCGTTTCATCACCGACGTGAAGAAAGCCGTTGCCGAGGCGATGGCCAATCCCAAGGCAAAGGCAACCGGACAGGTGAGGAAAAAAAACTTACACGCTGTAGCACGTCAGCAGAACATACTGTGCCTTCACAAACCTGTCAAGTATTGTGGGTAGCTCTTGAGCATAACATCTCACTTAAGGATGATGTATTCATGTATTCAAGGATGACATCCTCTCTATAGTTTTCAAATTGTTGTGTTGGAAAAGATACCATCGACAGTGGGCAAATTTCTAAAGCAAGGTTGACCAAACACCCACTAAAAACCGTGAAAGATTCGATTATAATATAATATAATAACACACATTGTACTTTTGCAGGGTGCGATCTATGGCATGGCTCAGGCGGTACCAGACCGCACACTGATCTCCGAGATCGCGTGGGGCTACCTGGACTGCGTGTACGACACCAAGCGCAAGGAGGATGACGGCCCTGTCAACGGCATGCACCACTGAGGCGTGCTAAGTGGCCTTGGATTTTAATCCGCAGCCAGAAATAGGCTGTATAGGGCCTTGGATTATCACCAATACTCATGTTTCCCAGTAGACTACAGTTAAAGAAAAACATTGCATGAATTGTGCAACTTACTTATTGTGTGGATTCCACACAAATTTGTAAGGAGTGCAAATTCTAACACATCATAGTAACAGTATCTTTGTCCAACCCGGCAAAAGCATATGTTAGTAATAACGGTGGAAAAAAAGTTGAAAAGAACAAAAAAATGTTTTGAATGTGGGGACATCCAGTCACTTAAAACATTTGTTTATCAATTCTCATGTTGACAAATAGTCTACAGAACTGTGTTCAACAAAAAAAACATAAATATTGTACGAAGTTTGCTGCTAACAGGACTTGTGAATTTTTTCACACTGTCTTGGTAAGTCGCATAATTTGTACCTCTCATTAGCATCAGTATTCTTGTCCAATCCGGAAAAGACCATTCGTAATTATGGCACGAAAATAATCGTAAAGATTTTGGAAAAAGATCTACGGGAGAAGAGAAAGAGATTTTGGAGGATTGGCAGTTTCTTTTACATTGCAGTCAGGGGAGAAAGTAGTAGGCAAATGTTGGGAAGTTCTGTTGGATACAGACTTCCTATGAGAGTGACACAAACCCATCCTAAACTGCCGTAAGTTGTAACAAGCAGGGCGACCAAAATTGAATGATATGGGGAAAGAGATACTTTTATCCAAACATCTGAAACTCCAAAATGTTACACTTTTGTGATGGGGAGAAAGAAACGTTGAATAGAATTTGTGATGCTCAAAAGGACAACATTTATGCCTATATGGTGCTTGGTGTCTCAAACCTTTAGTACTCTGCTAACACGTAAATTGCAAACGTTAGCCTCTGACATGTCATTTTTGTGGCAGTTGATGGTAAAACAGAACAATCCCAAACAACCAATGTATTGAGCAAATGTTGCAATAAAAAACAGTGGGCTTCAAGCAATCCTAAAGAGCCAACAGGAAGAAAAATCAACTTCAAATGACCAATAGGGTGTGGAACTAATTGAAAACTATATAGGAAGATTGTACATTACACGTAACAACCATACATACAGTGTGTAGGTTGTTCTGACACATACTGTAACATACTACCCCAAACCAGTATGCAGAAAAGGTTTGAACAATCAGAAGGGTTTTATGTTTGGACATGTCCAACTCTGTTAAGCAACTCAATGGTAAATGTCTATAGAAAAGATGCAAAGAGTAAGAAAATAGCAATAAAACTTGCTGTACAAGATCTTCCCAGCTATACTTGCTGTGGGATAGTCAATGGTTAAAAAAAAACAACTAAAATATCCATGGTTAATGTCTAACGCATCCATGCTGCTGTGTTGACAAACAATCATCTTGATGTGAAAAAGAAAAGCAAGCATTTTTTCTGCTAGTAACAACAACTTTCAACAATAGATTTTGTTACTTTTAACATTCTGAAGATTTTTTTTACACTGTTGCAAACCTTCGTGGTTTATCATATAAAGCAACAAAGAAATGCAAGTTTATGTTATGTTGTGTTCTTTGTCAAGTTGTATAATTTTGGTCTATACACATAATTTTTTTTGCCTATACAATAACATTGTATGGTAACTGTTGAAGTACTTATATTTGAGAACATGTGTGTGATAATTTTACTGTCATTGAAAGGTTAACATTTCCATTCCTTAGAAATTAACATTGCCATTATTTTACATGTGTATCATTCATAGTGAATGGTGTGTGATATCTGTAAAGATCCACTGTAGAGACTATACATTGTTGAAACATAAACGTATGCATTGATACATGAACATATGCAACTTATACTGTAATAATGTGAACAACCAAACACTTACTGGATCTATGAAGACTGTTAGTAGCCAGCCAGTATGCTTGAAGACTTGAAAACAAAACTTTGCCAAAGTCTTAGACAGACAAGAGACAACTTGTAGCCCTGGCTAGGTGCTTAACTCTGTGCTTGTGCAGTGGTGCTATCTTGGCTACAGTTAGCAATTTTTGTATGGTCACCTCTCTATTGTGAAAAATACACCATTGTGGCACAGATGTCCAAGACTGGGTAATATGCGATGAGGATAGACACAGACTGAGAAACACTTGATAAACATTACTTCATCAGATTGCAACAACAGAAACGGATCTTTATGGTTTTAATACAGAATCGTCAATGTGAGTTCAGACTTTGTGTGATTATTGTTGTACACTTTTCTGGTATTTCTAGAAGAGAAACCGTTGAAATGTACAATACTTGAAGAAAAAGGGGTCTTAAACATTCCAAAACCAGGCGTAAAACACGAGAGAATGGGTCGTATCCTTGTATCTGCTTGGAGCTGAAGAGATCTCTGCAGTTCTGGCCAAATCCGGAAGAGAACGCTGCTGGCCGAGTGAGTTGCATAATGGGTCAAAGGTCACAAAACATTCAGGAAGACAAGCCAACTTTGGTCGCAAGGCGGAATCTTTGTGTTTCTCTCCAAGTATTTTCTCTGTAAGCTGCCGTTTGCACCATGGTGCGAGTGCTGATTGTGGGAGCGGGCCTGACCGGGGCCGTGAGCGCGTGTCTGCTGAGGAGAGAGCTGCAGAAAACCGCCAGTATCGTGGTCTGGGACAAGGCCAGGGGGGCGGGTAAGATCTAGAGCTACCTGACATCTCAAACCTCACGCTAGCCTGGGTGCCAGAATGTTTCCTGGGCCAGTATAGGTCCTATGTCCCCGGCTTCTGGACCAACATGTCCCCAAGGAAGTTTATGATGGAAACCCCTCAGACCCTAAATCATGGAGGTAAAAGTCACATAATTTTGCGATTCATTTTTACCTCCAAGGAGGTTGGCCTGTTTTACCTGAGCCCTGGGAACAGTCTGGCACTTGTAGTAAAAATTGTACCTTAAAATTATGTATTACTATTATCCTGGTTACCATTCTCCACAGGCCGGCTTTAATAGGTGTGCTTTATTGGCCCCACCATTTCTGTAAACATGCTAAAGGTGATGCCAGATGCAACAAACAAACATACTGACTGTTGCGTTTGTTGCCTGCAGGAGGTCGTATGAGCACCAGCCGTTGTCCTGAGGATCAGAGGTGCACGGCAGATCTGGGGGCCCAGTACGTGTCTGCCACCCCGGACTATGCAAAGTCACATGCCAGGTACTGCTCTTAAATTCTCTTAGCTTAGAAGTTCATCTGCATCATTAGAAGTAAGGATTTTTTTTAATTTTAACCAAATTGTTGAATAGATTCTAAACTGGGTTCGAACTGTGATTTCCAACACAGAACTTGTTTTTGGCAAGGAATGGTCAGCAATTCATTTCAGACTGTGATGTCAGTCACATCATGCAGAATCAGAACACATGACAGTGAGCATTAGGAATCATGAACAGAAACTGCTCCAAGCAGATCCTAGGGTGGCAAAAGACTGTATCAAATTAGCCAGGCAGTATACATTCACCATAGAGGGTGGCATATGGATAAAGTCTACTTCCGTGTTCATCATATTTGCCCAGTTTCTATGAGTCCCTGCTGACTGAGGGAGTTCTGCGGCCGCTGTCTGTGCCCGTGGAAGGTGACCGTTCCGACCCGGCGACACGACACTACGTCGCGCCGAGCGGCATCAGCTCCGTCGTCAAACACTTCCTACAACAGGCAGGTGAGACAAGTAAGTCTGGCTTGGTGATTGATCATTGATTGATTGATTGATCGTTGATTGATTAACTAATTGATTGATTGATTGATTGATTGATTTTGATTGATTTCTCGCTGAAGGTTACACATTAACTTTTAAGTTTAAGAAGATTCAGAAAACAGAATGATAATGTTTGTGTACAATCTATCTATAGATGCTTTGAGAATGTTGATTGATTGATTGCTTGATTGATTGATTGATTGATTGATGGATGGATGAAAAGGTTGGTTGATCATATTGATGAATTGATAATTGATGAATTGATTTTATTTGCAACATGTCAAAAAAATGATGACAACAATGAAAACAAGATATTACACACAAAAATAGTTTCATCAGGTTGGTAAAGTATAGGATATAGTGGCAGAACTCCAGTCAGAAGCCCTGAGGAAGGTGTCTGATAGACATCAAAACCTTATTAAACAAGGTAAGACAAATTGTGTTGTGTGAAAGAAAACTCCTATGAGAGATTGCACAGAAATTGAACCCAATGAGCTAACAGCAGTCACTGTGGTTCTCCATCTATCCTCAGATGCAGAGGTGCATTTCGGACATCAGGTATCTGAGATCAGAGCCGAGCAGAGCGGAGGAACGTGGCGCGTGGCGGCGCAGAACGGGACGGAGGCGGAGTTTGACGCCGTCGTTCTGACGATGCCCGTGCCTCAGATCCTGGGACTGGCGGGAGTCAAGACACTGCTGGGTACGTAGGGGTTTGATTTGATTTATTGAAATTATAACAATACAGATGGAACACAGGCAGCTGTTGCTGGTGTTGTGTCCCACACATAGAAACAGATATAGGGCAGGACAATACTCATTTTCACTTGAGTTAAGTGAGGAATGTCGTGTCAAGTGCCTTTCCCAAGGGCACAAGATCGGTGGCAGTTAGTTCCGAGTCAAGCACTCTGCTGTTATGCCACACAACCCCACAAAGCTACGCCAAATTATTTTCTTGGTTCTCAAACTTTTTAAGTCGACAGAAAATGGATATGCTGGTAGGATCCTGGGCTGATGTACTAGGTGACATCCAGCATATAGATGACATCTTGGATCTTGTTTCAGCACTATGTTAAAGTGTCCTAAGTATGGAACGATCATACAGTCGTTCAGTGTAATGTTATTAGCCATCTGCCGCCGCGCTGCGTGCCTACAAAGCTGGTGTGTTACGCAATAGGACGGTTATACCGGCGATACAGAAATATGCTTAGCCTAATGATCGATGATAATTTGGTTTTATCTTGGAAGTTCATCTGTGTTGGTAGAAGTCGTTATGAAACAAGTTTGAAATGCAATTCAAACACACTTTCTTGCGTTTGAAATTGCAGTTAAACTTGTCTCATAATGCTTGATTTGTTTGTAGCACATCACATAACATTACATACTCTAATCCCTCCCCCAGATAACCAGCCAGCTCAGCTGTCCCAGCTGCAGCAGGCCTCCTACTCCTCCCGCTACGCCCTGGCACTGTACTTCTCACCAGGCACCAGCTTAGACATGCCGTGGGCAGCTAAATACGTCACAGAGGACCCCTGTGTCAGGTTCCTTTCAGTGGACAGTAGGAAAAGGGGCGTCGGTGAGTCACATCCTTCAGTTGGTGTTTTTCTGTAGTTCTGTTTTTAAGTTAATAGCATTACAAGTATTGAATTAATAGGGCTGCCCTCCCTATGCCTTACGTGTTACTGATAGTCCATCGGTGTGTCATACTTCTAAAGTCAATGAACATCTTTAAACTTTTCTTCATTATCTAATATAAGTACATTCATTGTGAAACCAAGTTTGCAAACCTGTACATGTAAATTACATTGGCCACATAGTTGCCATACTAATTCTGAACCATTCATGAAGAAAGAAGAATTGTAAAGAATGCAACAAAAAAATGCGAAGAAAGACACTTTGCATTTTCTTGCAAATGTTGGTTTTCTAAATCCTAATATTTTCATGTTTGTTTCCTCCCAGATGACCCGGAGGTTGGACCAGCCCTGGTCGTGCACACGGGAGTTCCGTTTGGCCTGAACCACATCGACCAGACACTGTCTGAGGTTCAACCAATCATCATGCAGCATCTACAGAACGTGTTGCCAGGGTTACCAGAACCCCTCAGCGTCAAGTGCCAAAAATGGAGATATTCTCAGGTATGTAGTTAGGACATAGCTTAAGCTTCAGGCTTCAGAAATGGTTGGAAAATGGAGATATTCTCAGGTATGTAGTCAGTGCATAGCTTCAGAAGTGGCTGGATAGGGTTAGACATTGGCCAAATAGATAACATGCCAGGGGAGTTAGTCTGTCCAAGAGTGGCAAAGCATGTTTTCTGTCTATTTGGCAAATGTCTACTTGGTCCAGACGCCTCTGAAGCCTGGTAGAGGCTACTCCATATACATGCTTTACAGTGCTAGAATATCCAAAAACTCCTGGTATCATTAATTTTGGTTTGTTATAAGCATTTAGTTGATCCCAAATGATACAGAGTTGGAAGAAGTACTTTCTTCTGTTTCTTACAGAACTTCTCTAGCATTATACGGGGTATTACACAAGGCATAATGACATTGTTACTATCATGTAAAATCTTTGAAGCAGCAACTTCAAGTCATTATGCGACAGGTGTCATTTGTTTGAATATTGATGTTTTCATAACTGTATCTTTTGCGGCAGGACACAAAATAAGAAAGACATGCCATTGTACAGAAACGTGTACATGTACAAGTGTCTGTGTATCTTCAGAATCATTTTAATGCTGTTTTGTATCCTCAGGTCTACCAGCCAGTATCAGGCAGCCCGGGTGCCCTGGTGGTGAGCAGTCATCCTCCCCTGGTGCTGGGAGGAGACGCCTTCACTCACTCAAACTTCGACGGATGTATAGAGTCTGCTCTATCTGTTGTCAGACAAGTTAGGGAACTTCTAACAACCAGCGGACAACTGTAACAACAGTGAAACACAATTCTGCCAGGTCACATACATTACATTGTGTATCTGCCACCCTGACAAAATACATGGTACATCTAGCAGAGAAATATCCTTTGCAATGGCTGTATAGAGTCGGCTCTGTCAGTAGTCAGACAAGTTAGGGAGCTTCTAACAAGCAGTGGTCAACTGTAACGTCTGCTAACATAATTCCGACAAGTCACACATATCTGCCACTCTGACAAAATGCACTAGAAAAGAGATATCCTTGAAGTTCGTAATATCAATGAGTATAATATTACAGCTTGTATGAACGATTGAATACAGGGCTTTTTTTCCATCTCAATACATGTATTTCTGTCATTTTTGTGTTTACGAAACTAATACTCAGAAAAAAAGCACTGTTTAGAGAAAAAAGACAGCTGAATCAGAGCAACCTCTGTTCACACCAAAAAAAGTTTATTCTGAAAACAATTTACAGTAATAGATAATAAAGACAGTAACCAGCTTCAACACAGTGTTTGTGTTTATCAGTTTTCTTGATTTTCAGTTATAAACTCACATCTTCAGTTTGACCAACCACCAAACTCACATAAATTAGCAACATACTCTTTGATTTGCAATACTCAATCTTTATAAAAAGTAAAAATAAAGAACTTTCAACACAAGATACTTCTTTAAGGGATCCTCTTTGAAATCACTAATAGATCAAACAACAGAATGATCATGGTGACAAAATACTCTTAATTTGCTTTGACACCTCAAATAAAAGTTCTATTTACAAATAGAGAACATAACTTTGTCTACAGGTACATGATACATGTGTAGCTATACTAGCACATTTCAACAACCAGTTTCACAAAAGTTGTAGAAAAATAGGAGTTAACAGTTTGCTTACAACAAACGATCCAAGCTGCAAACAAGGGCCACTTATTCTGCTCTAACAAGCTGATTACTTTCTGAAGAGTGCTTCATATATAATAAGCTAACTTATAAATCATTGTATAAAAACTACTCATCATCGATGTTATACAACAACATTGTGATGACCCTCCTCCCTGTTGCCTAAACCAGTAGCCAAAACAAATTCTGAGCAAAAAGCTTGACTTTTAAATGAAGAATATACTTCACAAGCACTACCAAAAAGACATTACATCACACTAATTTCTTCGATCTTCACATTATTTCCTACAGATTTCTCTAAATACAGTGTAGGAAGTTTTATGCTTTTAAGCACATCATTTCCTCAAGTCAAAATGCATCCGTTTTAAGATCTTACAGTAATTACATGAACATGACTACATATAGACTCACACACTAAATAAATCTTGTTTACTCTAATGTTCACTCACACACTTAGGTTATGACAAGTCAGATCATAGTGTCACCATTTCAATATCATTTTGCTATTAATAATAATATTATTATATTATGTTAAAATAATTTCATCTTCAATAAGCTGCTGAACATAGAGCACTTCTCTAAATATCTCGTGAAATATACAAGTTACAGACAGGCACGGTTCTGGATACAATAGAGACTCCAGAACTGTGCCTGATCCTAACACTAACCCATTCAGACACAGAACTAGATAGGCACGGTTCTGGATGCGATAGAGACTATCCAGAACCGTGCCTGATCCTAACCCTAACCCATTCAGTCATAGAACTAGATAGGCACAGTTCTGGATACAATAGAGACTATCCAGAGCCGTGCCTGATCCTAACCCTAGCCCATTCAAGAACAGAACTTCAGGCACAGTTCTGGATGTGACTGTTAGCCTGTGGACTGGACTAGTGAACGTCTGCTGCTCTCGCTGTGGCCTCGGCCTGCCCCGTCCCCTTGTGGTGCCCGATGTCTGTCATCCCCTCAGGGAGGCTGCCACCCCCGCTGGACAGCTGCATGGACACAATGGACTGTTCCAGCCCCGAGTCAAAGGTCGGGCTGGTGATGTGACCTCTGACCTTCCCTGGCTCCAGCAAGGCTGTAGAGATGAGAGGACAAGGTGTTTAACTTGGGGAAACTGGCAACAGAGAAGTTTTTATCACTTCAACTGCAATTTCAGATACAGAAAACACTGACTGTCTTTTCAGAAGACTAAAGAATGGTATATGTTGGTTAATCTATACTTGATACAGAAAGCAAGGAAAGCTGTCAGTTATGATTTAAATGCAGCAGAACAATGAAGTTCTCAAATGTTTGTGTACAGATTCTGTTGAATTTACCATTTAAATATAATGTTATGGGAGACAAAACATGTAATGTAAATGACCCTTACAGGTTGTCGCCCTATGTGTATAACACCAGCAGAAAACTGACAAGAGTCTTCAGTCTTGTTCTGTCCTTACCTGGTCCAGTTGCCATGGTAACTGGTTCTGTTGCCATGGCAACATCAGGCTTGGCCTTCACGGCTCCGTCGATGATGCTGATGGCGTCATGACGGCCAATCTCCTCCAGCCCTGCCCGTAACTTAGCAACCGTTCCATCCATCATCTACAAATACAAACAACATCATGTAACTTTATAGTAAAATTTTGAACTTTATTCCAACACACAAATTACAGAGATAAAATTTTCAGTGACCACTGTTGCCTTCATCAGGATAACACTCATCAAAAACAAAAAGACAGGAAAGTAATAAGGATTTCCTAGCTTGCTTTGTTATTCCAGTTGCTTTTACATTAGGCCTTAAATTTGCTCCTTCAAAGTTGTCCTCAATGACTTAATTTGCAACATAACTGGTTTGGCAGAGATATATACTTAGTAAAATGCCCTGTGTGAGATGAGTCAGGTTTACAACAATAAATCAAAACAAACAAACAAACAAACCTCGAAGTTCTCCAGCAGAGCGGTTGTGGGGCTCGGGCGGAGCTTGAAGGCGTTGCTAAGGTTACCGAGGCCCAGCCGCTCCGCCAGCGCCGCCCAGTCCCGTCCGGGGTTCGCCTCGTCCAGTGCCTTGGAAAGGAACAGCCGCAACGAGCCGTCCAATCTGCCGAGGTCCCCAGTGCCTGTAAAATTGTCAACATTGCTATCAAGTTTATCCTTCTTATTCTTAACAAGAGTCTATTAAATTTTTATATCTGTTGCTATGAAATAATTTTTAACATATCCTAATTCTGTGAATTGCGTAGCTACAAGATTTTGATCAATCCTCTAAACCTTCTAAAGCTTGTAGGCAGTCACTTGAATAAATGTATGAGACAATTTGTTCCTAACCTTTGGTGTGAGTGAAGTGCGGAACGTCGGGCCGCTGGTGTTTGGGTACGTACGGCTTCCCACTCAGGATGTCTCTCATCTGTACAGGAACATGCAGACTGGTTAGGAACATGCAGGGATAGTGCTCACTCACGGTGTACTGGTATGCTGGGCCTGTTCCCAACTTGTAAAATGTTTAGGTTCAAGTCCACAAAAAATAGTGTCTTCGCGGTAACAAAATTTCACAGTCTGAGAAAACTAAAAATATTCATGGAACTTAATCTTCACATTGGTGGGAGGGAGGGAGGGCCAAAGACAAGTGATTTGATAGCAGTATAGTGACTGAAAGAGTGAACATAAAAGTACCGATAATTGCTGTCCTTCTTTCCCCAGCCCAAATCCACAAAAATCACTAAATTCAGACAAAAAATCATTCATTCAGAAACAAACACAAAGTTCCCAAACTCACCTCATCTGAAGCTGCCAGGTCCAGCGGAGTCTGACCCTTGGCCTCGGTGACCTCTGACTCCTGACCTTCGTCCTCCTCGTCCTTGGCCTCGTAGTTCTCGAGCCTGGGGTCGGCGCCGGCCGCCATGAGCAGGGCCGCCATTCCCAGCATGCCCCTGCCGCTCGCCACGTGCAGCGGAGTGTTCCCATCAAAATTCTGCGCATCAACGTCCGCCCCCGCCTGGCAGAGAAACAGAAAACTGTTTTCAGCAACTTCATCTACAATAACTAGAAACTTAACATTCACATGGTATAGCCTAACAAACTTATTAACTGATCTAATTGTTCTTATTCAAACACATTAATATTTGAATGGGAACCAGCCCATCCAACTCTGTCCTGCCATTTGCTACATAAGGTAACCCAAGACCACAGGGTGTCTGCTGCAGCACCAGTTACCATGGTGACAGCCATCTGGTCCAGGGCATTAACCTTACATGTTTGCAGATGAAGAAGAGGAAACAAGGCGAAAACATTATATCTTCCTTCTAGAAAGGTATCCATCTGTCTCTACAGTTTCTTAATGCAACCCAAAACATGTAAGACAGTGGTTCATATGAGCTTTGTTTTGAGGTGAAAATTGAAGTAAAATTAAAAAAAACACAATAAACAATATCTTTTCCTTCGGTAAATATAAATACATGTATGTTTTCCCATCAGTAAACATAAAAACTCTATCCTGCGCTGACCTCGAGGATGAGGTAGCCCGTGATGGCGAGGTTCTCGTTCTCCACGGCGTGATGCAGAGCCGTCCGGCCGCTCTTCCCGTCCGGAACGTTCACCTCGACCTTGGCCATGACCAGCTCCTTCAGCGCCCCAAGGTTACTCGCCATCACAGCCAGGTGAACAGGGGTGAACCCTGTGGGTAGGATTAAGACATTGATTAATATTACATGGATTGGATGGTTTATTCAATGAAATACATCACAGCCAAGTATAACTGAATTGTGTACTTCATACAGACTTGGCAAAGTAACACAACCTCACAAAGGTCTTCACACATTTCTGTATCAAAACCTTGAACTATCAAATTCATACTTACATTACAACATTGATGAAAAGAAAGTAACAAAGAGCTTAAATTTTGCATCCATGCAGAATGATGCAGGGGACTCATCGGTTTTTCACAAGTTTCTCCTTTTTTTCTTACTAACCTAGATAATGAGTGAGTGTTTTTCCTTTCTTTCTTGGTATTAATAAAGCAGTAAAGTAGTCCTGTGGTCCTTTTCAGGGCATACATGTACGGGCAGTGGGCTTATATCCGCATTGTCTATGGCGCGGTATTGGAATGCAGAGTCAAAACCTACAGCAACTAGTGCTGAACCTGACCTTCAAAGTTGTGAGCGTTGATGTCTGGAGTGTTGGTGACCCCGGGTGCCTGGGCTGGGATGTTCCGCAGGATGGCCTGTAGACTCTTCTCATCTCCTGCAGGGGGAGGGGGGCACTCACCTTCAACTCAAGGTCAACACTTATCATACCAGACTATATATATAATCTTTAGAAACAATGACCACATGTTAGAGAATAGTTAAACCTTTATTGTTACCGCATACATACCGCGTACGTAAGATGACGTTATCCACACATGTACTCGTATTTAGCTTTGTTAGATCTTTAGTTGTAGAAGACCATACAGAAGTCCCTGTACTTTTTGTTGTGTCAATGAAGAATCATTATTCAACAATTCTTCAACGTCAACCCACAGGATAGAGGCAAGTGGCGGGCTGCCATCAAGCCACACTATTACTGTGCAAGCATGTCTAACCCTCAGAAGATGGGGAACAACGGACGATAAACCGGACAGTGAGTGAGTATCAGCATCAAAAAATATTTCATTGTATTTCTCACTACCCACCCAGCATGAAAGTTTGTCATAAGCTACCTATCCCTTCTGGGTAAAGATACATGTGTACTGGTTCTTTCTAGATAGTACACAAATTTTTCAATGAGCAAAATTCTACAACACTATAAAACTTACCACTACCAGATCATTTCTATCCTTTCAAAGTCCTCCTAACATCTTACTGGCTGATTTTAAAGTTTCTAATTTTAAATCTGATTGGCTAATTTAAAAAGTAACTGAAGTCTGATTGGCCAAGCTGAGAGATTCCCGCAGTCTGATTGGATGATTTGAACGACGCCTTACCGGCCTTGGCGGCCAGGTGCACAGCTGAGTTGCCATGGCGATCGGGGAGCCAGGGGTTCGCTCCGCAGCGAACCAGCAGGTCAGCCACCTGGGGCTGCTGGGTAATCACCGCCAGGTGCAGGGGAGTCTGGGTAACGAAAAAAAACAAGTGTCATGAGCCAGTGTGTTATGCCAAAGTACGGTTATACCGGCTATACAGATAATTTATACAAAAACAATTATAATAATAATGATAATGATAAAAATGTACAAATGTGTTACCCTGAAAGGTGGATGTACCAGCTATACAGATACAGATGCAGATGATCTAAAGGGTTGTTCCATTAGAAAATGGGGGATAAGATGCTTTCTCTGCCGCAAAGGTTATAGGTTAGGGGGTAAAGGTTATAACAGGTTAAGCCTGACTGACCTGTCTGAGGTGGTTGTACTGGTTGATGACCCTGGGGTCAGGCAGGGTCAAGGTCACGTGCAGCAGGTTCTGAACGACCAGCGGGTTACTGTGGATGATGGCCAGGTGCAACGACCTTCAAATAAAAACACAGAAAATTAATCATCGTTGTGTCCTTGGGAAAAGCTTAGTAGTAGTACATGTATTTCCTCACTCGACCCAGGTGTAAATAAAATGAGTAAGCTTCGGTTGGGGACCTCCTCTCGAAGTTTTAAAGCTGGACACCGCACACAATTATTATTGAAAGAGTAGGGGTCCTTCCTGGTGTGAGTGGTTCAAACCTTACAGTCTGGTCTTATGCAGCTTGTACGTAGTCTTCATGACGCACCTCCAGAGGGCCCTATATTCAGCAGGTTTACACTAGCGCACTCTCTGGTGTTCTTTTAACCAGGTCTTTTAAGGTCTTTTGGGACTATCATTACATTTACGTTTATCAAGAAAAAAAAGTAAGAAATTAACAATGGGAGAGGGATGGACTCTGCTGACCAATACAGTGTCCCACACACCGTGGAGTAGCAAACCACTGTCTCGTACAATCTCAAAGGCTATATTTGGGGCTATTTGAATGAAAGCTCATCTGTGCTGTTAGAATCCATACTTGATGTGGAGTTTGAGCTTCAAAGGACTATCATTACATTTAAAACTATCAAGAAAACAGTGAGGAACCCACGTGTCTCCTTCGTCGTCCTGCACGGCTGTGAGATGTCGCTGCACGGCGAGAAGCATTCGCACGTCGCCGGTGATGGCGTAATCACGCAGCGCGTTCGCTGTCCTCTCCGCCAGCTGCCAGGCAACGTCTCCGTACTGCAGGGCAGCACGGCTGGTCTCTGCTGGACCTGATACAGGATGGAATAAAGTACAATCAGATCTAGAGTTAGAAATCGAAATGCCCTTTTTTGTAATGCATAATCAGGTCCTTTTGTCTTTGTAATCCTTAGGCAATCTGACAAAAAACATTGTAATTCGTAATCAGTACATTAAGTTAGCTGTAACTCGTAATTGGTAATTAGCAGTGAAAATAGTGCAAAATTTGTGCAGGCCCTCATTAAAGTAACATTTGCCAACTGGTACTGTAGTAGACACCCTGGGGTATTGGATTACATTGTGTAGCAACTGCCAAGCAGAGGTCTGGGGTTTGAAAAGTAGAGGTTTGTACCTTTCTGTTTGTCCGCAGGAGCAGGTTTAGTGAAGGCGCTGGGTTTCCATGGTTGCGGCCCCATGCTGACAGACTGCCCCTTCAGCCCAGCATGGGCATCCCCTCCGATGTGCGCCAGGCTTGTTGCCATGGAGTCTTCCGTCGGGGCGGAGTCCGTGATGAGGTCATCGTCGTCGGGCGGGGCCCTGTCGACGACCAGGTCATCGTCCTCCTCGGGCTGCCTGATTGGTCGATCCACGGAACCTGGGGAGGTCAAGGTCAAACATGAACCAAGGTCACAGACATGAGAAGTGTAAAAATTTGTATCAGAAAGTTGAAATGAATTAGACTTGCACTTTTGAGAGGTTTTGTCTAAGAGTATGCTTACCATCATTATGATAAATATGGAGATTTTCAATAGTTAAGGCTATATTCTTGTCTTATATCTTTGGCATTTGCAAAAGTAGAAAACTATATACATGTAGAATAACAGTCATCTTATAACCAAATGTGCACACTTTATACAAACATGTACAGAAGCTGTTTATCATACACATTGATGACCTTGGACTCACCTTGGTCCTTCATGCCGCCCGCTCCCCCGTATGCCTGGAAGGCTCCACCCCCTCCAAAATGGAACGTTCCACCGCCTCCGATGGTGCTGCCAAACCCAAAACCACCCCCATACATTCCTGTATCACAACATACAACAGTTAGGTATCATATTTTTCAAATATTTTAATGAAAATATGACATAAAACATAATAAATACTTTTCATACTGATCTACTTGAATTGTTCTAAGTTACATTATGATTTTATGTACAGTTAAAATTTAACCTTTCAATCTACATTTGATGCACCAAAATTACGGTGAGAAGGTTTTGCTGTTTAAAAGATATCCTTTCAGCCAATATGCATAAAGTTAGGTATCACTTTTCTTTGACTCAGGGTTATATACTGGCTCTCATTTCAGCTGCATTTCCCAATATGTTGTCAAACAAAGTCTTGTAAAAAAAAATTGCATAGCTCACCAGGTCCGAACCCCCCTCCCCCGGCAGTGGGCCCTCCCGGCCCCCCGCCACCGAAGTGCGTGTTGAAGTGTGGAACAGTCTTCTTCCTCTTCTTACCGATCTCTTCTTTGTCTGGAGGTGGGAATCAGAGAGAAAATCACATCAACACAAGACATACAGCACTTCTACTCTACTCAAATCATGCCCATTCCTGGCCTTGGTGCTGAACACCATCAACTGTGAAACACATCAGATTTTGTAAAATACATACAATACTTTTCTCTAAAAACACTGTTTTTTTCTCAAAACTATAATTATGACTGCTTCAATACAAATACATTCAACCATTATAACTGATTTCCAAGTTTTTGTACCTACATAGATCTGAGGAAAGTACAAGGACAGCAAACTTGGCTGTTATTCAAACTTTCCTTTTGCAGTATCTACAATACCTCAATCTGATTGTAAAGCAATGATGCAAAGTGTTTGGATAAGTCCCAATTTCTTTGTGCTGAAAGTTCAGAACATGTTTGGAAGGTAAGTGAAGGATTTGGGGCCATCAAATTAGTGAGGCTGATACTACAAAGCAAGAATTTCTGAAACCACGTACCGAACTGCTGGGGCTGGTAGGTGAAAGGTTTTGGGTTGCTGAGTTATATATACAGATTCTGCTAGAAACCACGTACCGAACTGCTGAGGCTGATAGGTGAAGGGTTTGGGGTCGCTGAGTTCTCCGTCTGACTTTCTGCGCAGCTGGACGTGGACGCTGATCGGGCGCTCGATCGCCACGTTGTGGTACGGCGGCGTCTTAAACACGATCGCAAACTGCGGGGAAAAAAACATGATGAAAGGAACTTACAAGGGGTTTCAGTGTCTCACAATGGCTGTAGAATAGTTACAAAGGATGTACAACACAAATAGTACTTGTGCTATCTGATGAAGACAGTCTGTGCCTTTAATTGCTGCAGTCAAGAAATTCTGAGGCTCATGAACTGACCAGGAACCAGTATAAGGATGTTTGGCTGCATCACCAGCCGCGCTACAAGGCCATGTTAAGTCTACTTATTATTGTGTTTTAATTGTCATGTATTCAACACTGTTTTGTAGTTTTTATGCACAATGTCTATTTATTTGTGGGCATGGTGGCCTTGAAAAGGTGTACTTAGGTCCACCTGTTCCACCATGCCTTCCATTTACATGTGTATGTGGTGTATTGTAATAAATAAATAAAAAATAAATAAAATAACCTACCAAGCTACCCAGCTGTGAAACAAACAAACAAACAAATAAACAAACCCGTGTTGACCTGACGTACCTGTCTGTGGACGTCTGCCGGCCCAAAGTCTCCGTAAGCCTCCCACTCCGACCCGCCATTGGTCGAATCATCCGCCTCCTCATAGAAACGCACCTGGATGTCATCTGTACAAACAACAGCAGACTCATCTTTCACTTTTATTATAATATTATATTAATTCTTTTTAAATAATGCACCTGTACCGAATGACGCACATGTACTAATACTACATGGGACATTAAACTCTCTATCTTGGGGTGAGAACATCAATAGTAGAGTTTCTTTTAGCCCCTATCATGCATACAATCATATTATTGTGTTAACATTACAATCAAACAGCAAGGCTAGAAACTGTTTGAAGACATAGATTCTATTCTTAAGTCAACATCTTTTCTTGGCATGACACCATTTTAAAGTTACATTTATTATGAGGAAGCAGTATTTTATACATGACATGTACAGGCAAAGCCAAGACAGCTTATGCCTATTCTCAGTGACTGTCATGTAAAAGTCATGTAGGATCAGGTAAAGGTCAGGTCGGGTCATGTGAGGTCAGGTCACGTAAGGTCTGGTCACATGAGGTCTGGTCAGGTCATATGAGGTCAGGTCATGTGAGGTCACCTGACGTCGCTCACCTTTCTGCACCTTGTCACACAGCAGGAAGACTTCGTCCCCGCCTGTCACACAGCCGGAGTGCCGGTCCATCCGGCAGATCTTCAGCGTCGACGCGTTAGGGGCCTCTGGGATTATAACGGGTGAAATATGTTAACACCAGCAATATGCTAGAGACTGTCATGTTAAGGTCATGTGAGGTCAGGTCATGTGGGGTCATGTACTATGTAAGGTTAGGTCAGGTCACACGGATCTTCAGTGTGGACGCGTTGGGGGCTTCTGGGATAATGATGGGTGAAATATGTTAACACCAGTTCATGTTGCTTTATGAAGGTGACAACACATGATATGAAATGTATATAATTTAATAAAATCTCTGCATTCATTAGTATAGAAAGCAACCAACAAGACAAAAACTTTTTTCAACTGTTGGCACCAAACGAGAGGATTTTTTATTCATAACCTAAAGTTTTTTTCCTTTTGAACACGAACATGCTTTGCTTTTGCAAATCAAAAAAGGGCAAATGCAAGAAATAAGCCTAACATTTGAGCTTCTTGAAAGCTTTAGTTAGAAACAAAAATCATTTGAGAATACGTACTGCTGTCGAACACGGCATCAGAGATGACCGGTTGTAGTGTCCGTGTGTACGTCCCGTTCTCATCCTGCAGGAAAGCCTGGAAACAAACCCGCACGGCGCTCAGGTCCATCTGCTTAGCCTGCTCCTGGGACTCCTTCACAATCTGACGCTTGTCTTGTTCTGGGAAATAAGTGTAGAAAACACTGGTCATTCTTGAGAAAGACAAATAAAGTCGAAACCGGTCAAATTCTGTCTCATTGTTGTCATTTTCCCAATGCTAAGAATGATGTAGAGAACAGCTGTGTTAAGTCTACTGAGAATCCTTCAAGATCTGACGCTGTGAAATATGTAAGTTTTATATCTTACATTCATTTATTCATTGTTAATAATATGTTCCTATGTATGTGTACTACATGTTATATATTACTGATAGACAGAATGAGAGATAACGATGAGAGAAAGCGAGGGATGTACCTGTGATGTACTTGTTACTGTCGTCCTCGTTCAGGTTGTCGAAGTCGGGGATGATTTTCCCCGTCTCCTGGCAGCGCCGCGCGGCGACCAGCTCCTTCATCTTCCTCTTCTCCAGGATGGACGGAACGTTCTTCTTCGTCACGTGGAGGACACCAAGGTTCGGGAACCTGTTAAGAACAGTAGAGAGGAGTAGAGTTACAGGAATTAAGATCTATCAGTTTTACTTACTGGATGTACAATGTACAACTACAGTAGTAGACATTAAGCACTGGTCTAGTCTAGTCTACTTGTTGAAAAGAGCTAGCGGAATTCTGGCACAATGAACCTGTAAGTACTTTATAGTGTTTGTTTTCTCTGTCACGACCAGTTGGAGATTACATGACACTGTGTATCTCTTCAGTGGGCTAAAACTGGACCAAGATCATTTTCGCTTTACAACAATAAACAACAAGAAAAAGGGAGGGACTAATATAATGTTGCTGTCATGTCACACACATACATGAAGAACAGTACCAGACATAGCTAAAGATTAACTCAGGTAGCACACATGTCCTTAGGCCCAACCTGCACCACACAGATACACAAACACAGACAGACACACACACACAGAGCTAAAGACAAACTCACGTAGCAGACATGTCCTTGGGTCCAACCTGCACCACACAGAATCCGTCCTCGTTACACTGTTTCCCCACCAGGTAGTGGGCGTGCGGCCGCGGCTGGTCCTCATTGGTCATCAGGGTCACCACGATACGGGCGTAACCTTGGTAACCTACGATCTGGGAGATCAGGGCAAAGTTCATAATTAATTGATGAATCATCATGATTGATCTTCCTCATTATAATGTGTAGCCTCTTGAACTGTTTGTCAACAATTGCTGAGAGAAGTTCCTGTACTTCTAAATTAGTTTCTGTTTCTATGAGTCTCTTTAGAGTTGATTATGGTGTGGGATCGTGTTGTGATTGCTGTCAAACGTGCAGACAAAAATCATCAAATAACAACATGCAACAACATGGGCCGTCACTATTTTGGTCCACACAATTACCATTACTCCTTAAAAAAGAAGCACTTACAAAGCCAATTTTCAAAAATGGTTAAAAGAGAGGAAATTGTCCGATGTTACCTTGACTGATGGGTATGTTTTCCTGTTCTTCTCACTGTGGACCCCTGGGATACCTCCGTGAGACGGACCCTCGCAGCCGTACCGGAAACGGAAACCGCGCTGGGGGAGAGATGACATCATCATCAGTCTGTATAAATTATTCAGTGCGTAAACTGGTAACATTTGGCTTGTTACAGAGAGAACTTTAAGTCTGACATTTCTTTATTAGATTGTAAACTTCTCAAATGGTGTTTCATTCAGCTTTCATTGAACCCTGTTGGCACTGTAAGTTTCATATAAAATCATTAACAACATGTGGGAGCAAACCAAAGTTAGAAAGGTAATCAGATTCATCGTACAGCACAATATCTTTGAAGCTAAAACAGGATCAAATCAAATCAAAACACAAGGGCAGACAATCAGAGCCAATTATATATTATCAGACACACCCGTAACATGTGTATTCATCACTAGTATACATGTAAACAGATATAAAGAAGGAAGTGCTTACAGATTTGGGCTGTTCAGTGATCTGTAGGTAAGGTTGTCCCTGCATTCCTGTAACAAACATGGACAATTTGGTTTAACAGACACACAAAGACATGGGCTATTTACCTTATAATACGTTATCTTCCAGTACCTGTTTGATGTTTTAGTTTAAAATCATTACAAAATTTGCTTCGTTGTATTTTGTGTATAGTGAGTGTTGCCATGGCCAGCATTTTGTAATATCTGTACTGGGCTGATCTAACTGTACAATGTGTACATGTACTAGTAGTAATATGTGACATTGTCTCTTAGAACCAAACCAGTACATAAGATAAGGAAATTTACTATTTACCTCAGATTTACATGTTGATTAGAAATCGCTCTATATATGTCTCTTAGTATAGAGTCTTACAGCTAAACCAGAACATCAGAATTTGAAGAAGTTAGAGAAAGTGTATCTTCCACATACAGGTGAGTTACCTGTGATTTTGCTAGTTGGGCTGATCCCTAAAAGCTTGACATTATGTAAGGGAAAGTGAGAGAAAGTGTCCACCTGGGACAGGTGTGTAATAAGAAGTTACCTGGAGTTCCGTTCATGGCGTGCTGCATCCCCGTCATCTTCTGCAGCAGGCTTATGTCCGGCGCTCCGTCCTCCCCGTTAATTATCTCGTTAACGAGCGACGCCGGTAATTCCACCGACTCCAGCGCTGTGTCTGACATGGCGGAATCAAAACCCTCGACGTTTTAGCGCTCAGTTTTGTCCGTTCTACCTCACAAACGCGTAACAAGTACGGAAAGTCTTCTGTGAAGAAGAAAAATAACAAGAAAGGGATAAAATTGTCAATAAAACTGTAAAACTCACCTTGTTTGGGTTCTACTTCGAGGGGTTTTTGAGGAAATGTTGCGAGGAAATAAGCAAAATGCCTTCTAACGTTGCTACAATGTAGCCACAGTGTTTCTATAGACTCAGGGACTCAGAAAGGGGAAGTTGTTGACTCATTTGCATATCATTTGCATATCCAGTGGAAATCCCCGCGAGCGTCAGACAGTATTTCTGGCAGGAGGTAATGACGTCATCACTAACCAAACAATGGACCACCTGAGGCCTGGACTGTTCCATTTGGTTACCATACGGGGTAAAAACTTAATTTTCCAACAGTACTGTATTTTCTTTTACATATAAACTTATAACACCAACCCTGACTTTAGTCATTTTGCATGTCAATATGGTTCTGGATCTTTTTTAAAGCCACTCAATTTTTACAGGAAATAGAAAAACACTTCATACCCCCCTCTCAAAGACTTAAAGTGTGCCAGCCCTCCCAGGCTGGGTGTAACAGTAAGTGGTATAATAGAAAGGAGAAGTGTTTAGTGCGCAGTTCTAACAAGTGACAGGAAAATACCAAAGGTGGTCACTTGTAATACTTCCTTCTTGTTCATCTTTCCAGGTTTTTCAGTTCCACTGTGACTCAGTGTCACAAATTCGAAATGACAAAATATGCGTGTCGTGACATGCCGTGGCTTGTGAAAAAGTTCCTCCAGTGATTCTTGTTTTACAGTGCTTCAAAAATATTGACAAATTTCAACATTGGCTTGCCTTGGGAATCTCTACCACATAATAATGTTCATGATTTGAATTACGGGGTTGCTAATAGTAATAATGCACTTAACTTACAACAACTTACGCCATGAGACCAATTATGCATCATATACAAAATCTATGGACTGAGTATTATGAGGTGGCGTCTATAGTAAGAAATAATGTTTATGTTATTGCAGTGATTCTTGAACCTAAAAGTATGTGACCTATTTACTACAATATACGAATCATGTCACCACTTGCTTGTATATATAACATGATGTACATAACGTTATACACATACACATGTGTCATCAAAATTCCCCTGGTCAGTTTGGAATGCCCCACCCTACAACAACAGTGAAACTGAAACTATGATTCTAACAGCATGACTTTATGTGACTGGCAAGTAATGACAACTGATTTATGCAGATTGCTTGGATGGAAGTTGTAAGATGTGAGCTATGGTACCTAACACCTGGTTTTAAACCTTGACTTGACTTTTTTTTTAGCTGTGAATCTTCCTAAACCCATGACTGTACAGTCAACATGTTACATCATCCATATGACTATCTATGTGTCTCTCAATCATTCCTAGAAATTGTAGTCTGCATTTAGAACTGTACATTTTAACGTTAAGTCACCTTCTTATTGAATAATATGTGATAATGCTGGAAACTCTATACATTGATATTTGACAGCTGTCTTTACATCATGAATTGATAGTAGGTTTACATGTTCAAAGTCTCCTCTGGAAGAACCATTCGGAGCTCAGAGAAGGTATCTGGGATTTGAGCCCTCGGCTTTTAATCCAGAAGGTGGTTTGTAAACAGGTAGTCCTCTAAATGAATATTTTACATGTGAAATAAGTTTCGCAAGGAATGAAAAACTCAATATGGTTACCTGACGACACAAAAAAGTTTCTTAGCATAGTCTTAAACCTTCTATAACATCTTTTAGCTGCCCTGTGTACCTTTTTACATTTACTCCAACTATCATATACAGTAGTTGGGGTTTACAAACATACCAGTATAAAGAACAACCTGGCCAATATGACCTCTTATTGATGGTCCTTTAGAAGATAATTTTCCCATTGACACAAGCATTAAGCATCCTGTCTACATGGACCACCTGTCCACATAGACCAGATTTTATTGGCCCCTTGTGTGGTGCAGTTTTGATTGCAGTTCTAGATTGAGAATGTTTAAATCTAAACTAAACTGAACACATAAACATCGATGTCAACATTTTGACGACACAAGAACATCTAACAGTTATCATCTGAGCAAACGTCTGCTGTTAAATTAAAATGTTTTCTCCATCCTCGCCCATCCCCCCTAGCTACCGGTAGTTTTGCCATCTCAGGATAGAAAATTCGGAACTTCATCGACAACAAGAAACATCTAGTCTCGTCGAATTAATGAGAATTTACTAGTGTAATAAAATATAATCCCCTGGCATCCAGGTACAGGGGTTCATAACACTATTGGTTTTTCATTAGACAACTACAAATCACACTTTTTGCGATCCTACACTAAAAGGGGGCAGTACGAGAAACCTACAACTTTCGAGTAGCCGAGGTATAACACTGCATTCAGGTAAACAATAACGGCCTATTAACAGCAACAAATGCGATTTTTCGGAGCTGTGACTCACCAAGATCGCGCCCAGATCTTCAGAAGTGCCGTAAAACCCCGTTAGTTTGCAGTTCCAGGGTAGATTTGGACTTGGACTTGGGAAAAAACACTACGCCAGACTCCAGCGTAAAGTCCCTAAACCTGGGAAAACCCCGCATTTCCAGCTCAGCTCTGATTGGTCGACGCTGGTCAGCTGGTGGGATATCAGAGCCTGTGATTGGCTGGAGCTGGGACGAGACAAAAATAGATCTGCGTCACCAGGAAGTGTTCCAGGTAGGGCTGACTGTGCAGCAGCGCCTCTAGCGGTTTGATATAAAACTGCAAGCATTGCTGTATCGCGCTGCATTTCACTAACATGTCGGCTGTCGGCGCTTCTACACGGCCGCAAAAATGTATGCAAAACAACCTGATGATGTTGGCAAACTTAGTTAATGCTTAACTTTCGGAACTAACCAAAGTCGAAGGTAATTATAAACTTTGCAAAAGCTATTATCATACTTTAAAGAAATGTTTCAACGAAAAGAAAGTAGACATTTTGTTTTACCACACAGTACAAATGCACACAATATACATGGTACATTGTTGCTGCGTATGCGACAAGACAATCGCAAGGTTGCAGGTTCTTTTCCAACCTGCCCCCCCCCCCCCCCCCATGACCTTAAAACTTGTCCCATTCTCTTTCGGACATTTTCAGTAAGGAACACACATGGGCACAGGTATGGTGGACAGACTTTGGTAACTTCGAACAGTGATATTTAGTTGATAATTCTAAAGGATCTTTATAATGATAATTATAATGATAACTTTATGATGATATATATCATGATATACATGATACCTACGTATGATAACAACCTATACCTATCTTTATACATATGATACCTACCTACCTATATACATCTTAAACCCTTATATACCTGACATAAGTTTTAACTTAAAAGTGTTAATGATGAACATATTAAGGCATGTAGTGTGCAATATTAAATCGAGCCATGAAAGTTCATCTTCTGGTAGAAGTATATTCTGTTAAATTTTAAATTAGTTCCGGGAATGGGCACGGTAACAATGACAGAAATTCTATACTTTCAATACGAGTGACGGGGGCCTGCAT